TGGTACAAATAGTAGTAGCTTTGTAAATCTCTATATTTAGTGGTTTAATGGTTAGCCCTGACTACAAGTAGAAGCCTTGGCAACTGCGTTGTAGTAATTTATTTTGTTACTATTAAAAAATTATTACTAATAAAGATATGAGCAAGGTCTTACCTTAAAACCAAAAAAAAATATATAAATAAATAAATAAAATTAAAGTATTTATACAATATATTTTTATATAATTTTAATATAGTAAATTTTATTATAACAATATTAAAATATATAAATAAATAAATAAAATTAAAATAGTTATACAATATATTTTTTATACAATTTTAATATAGTAAATTTTATTATAACAATATTAAAATATATAAATAAATAAATAAAATTAAAGTATTTATACAATATATTTTTTATATAATTTTAATATAGTAAATTTTATTATAACAATATTAAAATATATAAATAAATAAATAAAATTAAAATAGTTATATAATATATTTTTTATACAATTTTAATATAGTAAATTTTATTATAACAATATTAAAATATATAAATAAATAAATATGTAATTTTAATATAGTAAATTTTATTATAATAATATTAAAAAATATAAATAAATAAATAAAATTAACTATTTATATAATATAGTTTTTATACAATTTTAATATAGTACATTTTATTAAAGAGCATTGTAATTTATTATTAAAGCAATATATTATTATTTATAATAATCAATTAGAATACAAGATTAAGTATAATATAAAATCAAATTAAATATAGTCTTTTTTAAAAAATTGTTTGTAATTTAAAATTTTGCTTATAAAATTGTCTTATATACTTTAATTAAATTTTTTTTTGTAAAATTTAGAGTAAAATCTTCTTTTTCTAAAGCTATATCTAATTCTAGTCTAATACTAACTCTAATCTTAAACCAATATCTTACTATTTATTGTTTTAATTTTATATTATATATGATTTTATAAGTGGCAATATATTGCATAAATAAAAAACTATAAAATCCTATATTAAATAATATAAAAAAATAAATAAAATTATAATATTTTTATTATATATCTATAATATATTTTAATCTATTTAATTATATTATAATATAAATATTTTTAACTTTTTTAACAAATTTAATAATTAAAACTATTAAATTATAATTAATTGTAATTTTAATATTTATGCATAGTGTCCAGCAACTTTGTAAACTTTTAGGTCCAATGATAAGTTAAAACTGCTAATTAGAAGAAATAATCATTTAGAGCCTATTATTGTTGATCAAACAAGCAAAAATAATCTACATTATAGAACAAAAACATGATTTTTTTAGAGCAGTGTATTCAAAAAAAAAATTGTTCACTCCATACGTATTTCATAATCTTGCAAAATGAAGAATAATTTAATCATTCTTAAATACAGAAAAAAATTGGTGCATATTATTTTTCTGAATCTTCTTTGCGATCACTGTAGTATTAGGCATTATTATGTATTATTGATGGCCAAGTGCAATTTTTACATAAACATGATTACCAAAATAGAGCTATTAGATTTTAATATGAATGATGAAAAATTAGAACTTTTTTGTTTAAAATAGTTAACAATATGAAGAGGTTATTTAACTGTGTTAATGTGATAATAAATGATGATAATATCAAGATAGATGATGCTAAAATTTGGTGTCTTGATTTTAAAATATGAACTCTATTAAAATCTACATTTACTCTTATACCCTTTTATTATGAACTCTAACCTTAACTCCTAACTTAACTCTAAACAAATAAGTTCAAATTTCAGCATCACCGGATAATAATATGCTAAATAAATTGCAAAATTCTTATATATGTTACTATATTAGATTCAACCAATCAGATTTCATAAAGAGAACATCCCAAAATGTTTTAATAATGTATTATTTTTCTGAATTAGAATCGAATAAATCTTGTATGTCTTTATATTTTGATTAAATAACTATTGATTTTTTTTTGAATTAAATTCATTAAAACGATTAAAATAATAATTGTTATTTTTATTTAAAAAAAAAATTCAAGTTTTTAAAAAATTTGGGTCAGCAAGTAATGCAACAAAATTTGATAAATGTATGTTATTTGATTAGAAAATTATTGATTATTAAAGAAAAATTAGCTTACTAATAGAAGGGACAATTTTTTTCAATAGCTACCTAACCAAATTCGATGAATTGTTTTTTTTACTTTAATTTTACACATTAAAATAAAAAAAAATTATCGAATTTAATCAGGTAGTTATCGAGAAAACTTCAAAGTTTAAAAAAAAATTTTAGCTCAATTTACTGATAAACAGAACAAGTTATTTCTTTAAGCAAGTTTTCTTACAGCTACTTGCCCAAATTTGATGAATTTTTTTTATTTTAATTCTGTGAATTTATAGAATTAAAATAAAATAAACTTATCAAATTTAGTAAATAGTGAGAACATTTTGCTTAAAGTTTTTAAAAAAAATTCCAAAGAACTTAATTTACTGATAGACAGAACAGATTTTTTTAAACTTTTCTCAATAACCATCAGACAAAATTTGATAAAAGTTTTTTTATTTTAATTATCTGAATGTGTAGAATTAAAATAAAAAAAGTTTTATAAAATTTTGCCAGGTAGTTATTAAGAAAACTTCGTTCAAAGTTTTTAAAAAGATTGCAAAAATTGGGTATGTTGGCCTGTGATTAATTCTGATTGGTTGAACGTGCTTAGAACACCAACGAATATTTAGTTTGTTGCACAAATAGATGCACTCAAACCTATTTGTTTCTTTAAAGCTCTATTAATACACACCATTTGATGGTTTGAGTTCTACTAAAACATGTTTTTGGTTAGTTTTGTCTCGAAGTAGCAAATAAAATACTGATCTACTATAAAAAAATTTTTAGGAACCTAAGCAAGGCTAAAATGATCTATTGAAATAATAGTCATTTACTGCACCAGTACACCAATGTCCATTGTTCAAAGTGCTTTTTTGATGCTTCAAAATTAGTATTTAAGCTATCACGAACTATTACTGTAGATAATAAATAAGAGTCACTAATACGAATCAAGGTCAAATAGCCACTATTTTAATAAATTGTTTTAGCTCTAGTTCTAAATTTTCTGCTACATATGTTACAGCACTTCTATTTTTAGTAATCTTTGTGAAAAAAGACCAGAAGGTTTTTGAACACCTGAACATTTTTACTTAATACATCGAGTGGAGATTACCTTAGTCACTTTTGAAAAACAGCTAAAGAAGTTAAATTATTTTTATGTAGATATAAATAAAATTTATATAAATTTTATGTTTATATAAATATTATATTCAATTATATAACTATATCTATATAAAAAAAATTTATAAAAATTGTACTTGCCGATGTTGTCATGCAACTTATATATACGTTTTATCTGCATATCGCTAAAATTAATATGTATTCATCTTTAAATTCAAAAATATCGATTAAGGAATTTAGCTCATAATTAAGAAAAGATGATGATTAAACAATTAATTGATTAATTGATAAAAAATTTTTTAGATGGCTTCAGTTTTTAATATAAGGATAAAATAAATTTTATAAAAATTATTTTAAGATTAATAATAATTTAACATTACACAGTAACCCAGAGCTCGGGATAACAAATGATGTACAGTATATACATATGTATGTATGTAATCTATGCAAGTTTTTTAAAATTACTGTATGATTTCTATATTTGTAATAATTAATAAACACATAATTATTACATAAGTGTAGTAAACAAATAAAAAAAAATTTTAATTTTTTTTTTTAATAAATATCTTATCTTTATTAATGTAATTATTTAATTAGTTTCTAAGTCACCATTAAGATCTATCGAAGCCAATACTTTGGTTGAAAATCTTGAACCAGATACCACTAATGCAAAAAAGAAAAGAAAGAAAAATGAAGCAGCAAGTTCAACTAGTAGTAACAATGGTATAACATTCTTTATACAATTTTTTATATACATACAATCCTAAATTATTTTTTAATTTAAATATAGTTCAAAATGTGACTAATTCACATTCTTATAAGTCGAAAAATACTATAAGACAAGATGAACAAGATGAACAAACTTCAAATACTTCATCCTCTTCAAGCAGAAATAGTTTACCTGAAAATTTTTCTGACCAACGATCATTGGCATCTAATAATACACCATCTTTTCCCAATAGAAGCTATTCGCCTGAAAGTATTCGTGATTAACAATCGCCAACATTTAACTTCACCTTACATTTTTTAAGCAAAACTCATTCATCTAAAAGTATTAATGACTGACTATTAGCAACATCAATTCCAGATACCACATCATCTTTAACTAGAAGAAATTTATTTAAAGAAGCTTACTGTCAGTAATCCCCATCGTCAAACATGATTAATATCTTATCGCTAATTGGTCTATTTAAAACTGATCTTGATGTTTGTCTGTATTTAGTATAGCATCTACAGCTTCTTGATTTAGCATTAAATATAATAAACACAGGTGACAAGAAATCTTTAATAGCTCAAAGTAGAGTTGATAAATTCAACATGCTCCTAAAAAGAGTAAATATAATATATAATTCGTTAATGTTGAAAATTCAATTATTTATTTTTTCTATTTAATTAAGAACTTAAAACATTCCAAATGCATCTAGAATGTTTCTTTTTCTGCACAAGAGTCATCAACAAACATATAATCGATGAACTTTTGAAGACTTTGTTTTCAAACATTCAAAATACTGCTGTATTGGATCGTGCAGCATTGCAAACATGGGCATTTGGATATTATCATGATTACAATGCTTCCTTGAGGCGTGAACTTAGAAAGCTCGTCCCTGAATTTATTAGAAAACATAAGTAAGTTATAATAATTGTTTGCCATTTATTAAATAATAATAAAAAACTAAACAATTATAATTTAGACTTACCAAGACAAAGGAGTCAACTACACACCAGGTTGCCCAATATATAAGCGAAAGTAACTGGATGGCTTTTATGAAGTGTCATATGGATGTGACAGATGTCCAAAAAATATTCAATGATCATCTTGACAATGTTGTCTATTTTACCAATTTTATCCAATCTGCGTTTAACCTTTTTGTCCAAGAAAGTCTTTTGGATAAAGAGGTGGTTAATGCTGTTAAAAATCTAAATTATATGACAGTTGATTTGGAGATTTTCATGGCTGATGGTAAAGATAAATTACAAAAATTAGATCTTAGATCACTTCTGAAGTTGGACTAGAATGTTGAAATAATTGGTAGCTGATATTGCTTAGCACTTTATATCATTAAAAAAAACACAAAATAGCATCAAGTAAAGCGTTTAACTCTGTTTTTAAATTTACATACATTATCTATTTATAGTAATGAGTTACAATATTAATGAGTCGCAATATTAATGCACAAATTAGTAGAAGATTATTTAACATATTACCATATTGGTTGAACAATTATTGAGATCTATTGTATAAAAATAATAATACATACCAACAATTATTAAGACCCGGGTAATTGTTTACTATCCTATCAGTATAATTCTTAAATAATACCTGGTGGTATATTTATATTAGTTTGCTATTTTTTATATAATTTGTATTCCTGTTTTATATAATAATTCATGGATATTAATTAATTTAAAATAAGGCCTGGGCACTATCATTATGCATAGTGCAAAATGATCGAACCTTATTGGTTTAAACTTTCAACAAGAATTATAGCAAAAAAATAATTTAATAATAAAAGAACTTTTGAATTAGCGTTTAAAAATAAAAATATATAAGCTTCAAATGATAATTAGAACTTCTTATAGTTATCTATTAGAGAAACATTTAGCGAAAGTTAAAAAATCTTTATTTGTCACTGTATATTTATATATATTTATATTTAACTTGTAAAGAATCGTGATCACATATAACTAAGTATAAGACTAGGCTTGGAGTCAATTAATAAACAAACTCCGCTCTAAGAAAATAAATATAAAGGCAAACTCGTTAAACTTTTTATATCTTTTTTTACTTTTTTTTACTTCTTCCCGAACACTGTTATTCAAAAACTTCTTACACCTTTTTTTACTTTTTCATCTTCTTCCTGACTACTGTTACTCAAAAACTTACACCTTTTTTCACCTTTTTCTCTTCTTTTCAAATACTTTTACTCAAAATCTTCTTATATTGTTTTTACTTTTTTCTCATTCTCCCCGAATATATTACTCAAAAACTTTTCAACTTTTGTCTTAAATACTGTCACTCAAAGTTATTAAACATTTGTTATATTCGAGTTTATAAGCTTGAATTAGCATAAAGTAAATTGCTTTTTTCTTAAAGTTATCCAAAAAACCATATATGTATTTTTTAAAAAATATTTATACATGTATATGTCTAACTATTTTAACAGTGTTTTTTATCGTTAATAATTTTATAATTTAGTTTATCTATTTAAAAATGAAAAGAATAAGAACAAAAAAAACAACCAAAAAAGTTGTATTAAGAAAACGTATTACACGTATGATTTCTGAAAACTTACAGAATGAATGTTTACCAATAAGCAATGGAGATGATAGCAGCAAAAGTTTATGTGAAAATTTCTTTGATAACAAAGCTTACAAGAAAATTTTTCTGATATCAAAAGCTTGGCAGAGAATTTTTCTGATAGAAATAAGCAAATAAATAATGATCTTGAATGCAGTTTGTCTATGACTTCAAATTCATCAGTAATAATGACTAGTTAACGGTTACAGAAGAATTCAAACAAATTATAGTAGATAGTAAAATTGATTTTTAGCTACTATCTAGAGAATACGACTATATTTTAAAAATTTTATGGAGATGTCACTTTTTATTTGGGTCACAAAGCATATGATCAGTAAGTATTATTAGAAAAATAAGTTGTTATTTTTTACTGTAATTAATCTATTTATTTTGCTTAATTATTATTAATTTATCATTACTAGCAACAAAAGCATATGAAGATCTGGCGAATATCATCCAATATCCAAAATTCTAACCTAAACATGTAATTAGGAATATTAGGCAGTTAAAGTCATTGCGTCACAAACTCCCCTTACAAGAAATAAAGTGCCATCAAATTCTAATTCAAAATCTGAAGACACCATCAACATCAACATCTATCAAAAATGTTTACACAATATCTGTAAACAAACATATCAAAAGGGTTCTAAGCAATAAAGATTTAAGATCACAAATGTATTTTGGACCTGGTGTTGAGGCAGATACAAAATCTGAGTTCTGGCATAGCAGTATTTGGCAGGAGTCTTCTTCTTTGGCCTATCCTTCGTATCAATAAACAATAGTATTATGAAAAAATGCATATGATACACTTACTGGTAAAATCCTAAACCATTATATAATTACTTTTTTTACGCACAAAATCCAATATTTAATTTATTGTTAGGCTGTTTGAAATTACAATTTCATTTAACATTCTCCCCACCACCTCTGAGAGCTCCCCTGAAATTAAACAATCTAACTAAAACATCTATTATGTCTTTGAGATTTCAATAAGTCAAGTGACCACGGCCCAACCAATAATAATAGAAATCTTTTTGAGGTGTCATATAATGTTTGTTTAATTTGACCCCTTCTTCACTGTGGTTAAGCCTTGAGAGAAATGTTAAACGAATTTATAACCTCAAGCAGCCTTATATTCAAATATTTTATTACCTTTATTAAACAGATTATATTTATTTATTTGTGTTTTAGCTTGCCAGCAGGCATAATTTAAATAATATTTCATGATAATAACTAATAAATAATGTTTAGAATTATACCAAACAGGATCGTTTATCAAGTACAGAAACAATAAAATAAGTATAGGAAGAATTATAGTGATTGTCTTAACTTCTTACAGTATCAAATTGAAAGTTCAACTCCTTTATTTTGGCTCCGAACTGCCAAGAATTTTTTTAAGTTCAATAAGAACAGAAGGATCATTGGATGGAGAGTTATGGTTAAGTGAAATGACCTACTTGATTGAGCCAGTTACGGTTTGGCTTCATGACACACCAGACCCACCCAATTATCAATTTTATGTAAGAGAAATTTTGTATACCATGAAGGTCAGTGGAAAATAAGGAACTGCAAACTGCGGCATCGTCACCCAATTGAATACACTCAACTTCTAACATTAGCACCTAATAATGTACCTATATTAAAAATTATGCTAGATATTTACTATGATGACTTCGGCACATTTTGTAATATATATCATTCGTTAGGTGCAATTTACCTCCAATTTTGTAATATGCTCATATGTCTAAAGAAATAATTAAAAAATCACTTTGTTTTGGGTTTTGTCCTATTTGGAGATAAATTTGATGATGTCATGAAACCAATTGTAGATAAAATTAATAGTTTAGAACAAGGCACCTTAATGAATATTGGAGGTCAGGACATGTGGATAGTTGCCAGTTTAGGTGTAATAACTGCCAACCTTCCACAGAGTAACGATCTTGCAGATACAAAGCAGTATAGTAGTATTCTAGGATGAAGAAATTGTCTGGTACCTAAGGAACAATTAAGTGATCTTAGTTTTGATGTTAAGTTAAATGCAAGATATTATCATATTACAAACAAAAAAATAAATAAATTAGAAGAATTTATAAACGAGAAGGCGTTACAAAAAATTATCAATGATTATTGTCTCAGGTCAAAAAAAAAAAACAACAAAGAGCTTGTAAAAAGAACCAAGTAATTATATTTTCTTCATTTTTTCTTTTCCAATTCTTTTTTTAGCTGGCCAATTTCTTTATATAATTCAAAAATAAGAGTACCCAAGCTGTTCTGCAATTTTTTTGCTAGAAGCGCATTTAACTTTTATAAAGTTACAATGTTAGATTACACAACAATTCATTTTAATTAACAGATTATTTTAAATTTAGAAATATATCATTTTTTAGATTATATTCTTTATCTAGGCGATTCTGATTAAGTTCTTCATTCAGGCGATTCTGATCAGGTTCTTCATTTAGGCAATTCTGATCAAGTTTTTCATCTATGTGATTCTGATTAAGTTCTTTATTCAACTTCTTGATTTTTCTAAAATCAAATTGTTATTAAAATGATTTATTGGCAATTCAATAATAAACTATTAAATTCAGAAAATCTACCTTTTCTTCTGAATAAGTTCTTCATTCAAATGCTTGATTTTTCTAAAATTAAATTGTTATTTAAAATATATAATTTATTAGCAATTCAACTTAACAGACTATTAAACTCAGAAATTTATCTTTTCTTTTGACCAAGTTTTTCATTCAGACGATTAATTTCACAAACAACAAAAGACTCTCCAAGTGTTTGATTTTTCAGAAGTAAAGTAGCTTTACATCAATTGCTTTGTTAGTAAACCTCTAGAATTAGATATATTATCACATTAAAAATTAAAATTACCTAGTTGTAGCAAATCCGCTCTACTCATTTTTTTCATAGCATTTAAATTTGTACTATAATAAAGACATGCAAAAAATAAATCAAGAAATTTTTAAAAATTTATACCTTTTCAAAACTATTAGACTAAAAAGAATCTAATTTAACTATAAAAAGAAATTGCATAAGCATACCTGCTTCTACCTTCTAAGGTGAAATTGCTCACAAATATTTCAGGCATTGAGAAGAATAGTGCACTACTAGTTGCTACTTCTAAGATTTTAAAAAGATAAATTGGTGTTTATTGTGAGTAGTGGCACATTTTCCTTATTTAGCAATATAAATCCGCATGAATGAATGTGATGTTTTATTTTAGAAAAAAGAGATTATATTCTTACCATGGCTTTTAACCATGAGAGAATCGTTATAAAAGTTTATCATGCAACCTTGCTAAAAAACAGTAGTAAAAGGCAACAAATGATGCAAATTTATTAGATTTTTTTTTATCAAGTGAAGATTTAGGGTTTACCTATTTATAATTTTATTAATATATTATACATGTAAATCATATATTAGAACTAAGTACACATTCAATGCATGACTATTGACTGAACAAGACCATGCGAACACCATTTGTTTAAAATTATAGAAAAAATCATTTTGTTTAATAGAATTTGAATTTTTTCGAGTACGATCTTTAAAAAAACAAGGTTAAAATTTGTAAAGATTTGCAATTATAATATAATAACATCTACTGGTTAAGTATCTGCAATATACATCTATTTAATAATATATTAGTTTACTTATATATAATAATAACTAGAACTAAAAACTTGCTTGTGGTGTGTTTTTCTCGATAGTAAAATAAGTACGTATATGATTTTCAAATCAAATACATATCATCACCATATATTAAACAGTTTAAAATAATTAATATATTTATTAGTATATTCTTAAAAATAAAAAAAGCAACTTTGTATACAGTACTATATATATATATAGAATATTATAACAGAAAAATATTGATAACTGGAAATAAAAACTTGTTTTAATTCTTACCATATATATATGCTATGCTATTAATAATATATTAATTAAATACATTTATTGCAATAAATACAATAACTAATTTATTATCAATATATTTAATTATACGATATATATACTGTTTGAAGATACAAGTTTAAAATATGCAACATATTTAATTCAGAAAAATTTTTTATTGCAAACTTGTTAAAAACAAGTTTCTTATAACTATAATAATAGTACAGTAGTACAGTATATAATAACAGGAGATCTGTATGTTGCATATAATATAATGAGCATATATTTGAACAACTTTAAAAGAACATCATCTTAATTATATTTATTAGGAATAATTTGAAGTTTTCAGAAATTTTTGGAGATTATAAATCTTTAAATAATAATAAAGGAATTCATATCATTGACTGCAAATTCGGTCACAACTGTATTTGACTGTTCTGTCAATCAAAAGGTACAGTATCTTTGTTTATTTGAACATGTAAATTCTGTAATTCGGCTTCAGCACATTTTTCAATATATACAATTAAATATCAGCATATCATACCTCTTATTCTTATTTTAGAAGTCAATGTTACCTATGCCTCTTAATCACACTAATGTATTACAAGATAATATCAATTCTGTGACGAATTACCAAATATTGTTTTTTAATAGTAAATATGAATATTTTATAATTATTATATTTGTTTTAAAGTTATTGATGAAATTATATTTTTTAAAGATCACATAGGTATATACAATGAGAAATCGTTTACTTGTCAAATTGCAAAGTTTTATATTAGTCCAAACAAGAAACGAAGATTTGTTAAAGAAATGGTTTTGATCTCTAGATCTGGTCAAGGTCTGTTTTGTTTCCCTCCAGCTGTATTAGCGAATTCATTTATTTCTTCTCCAGTTATAACCACTAATTTAAATAGTTCCAAGATATATTATTGTACTTGGGGTGCTTTACCTTCTAGGTGGTTGTATGTCTTAAACAGCCCTACAGATATAGACTTCTGGCACCACATGAGATCAATTTTTGAGATAGTCTTTTAATTAGTATTTATGCAAAATATGTAATTTAAAAAAAGCCAATAATCAATTTATCCAAGTACTAATCATAATACTATACAAATCTAATAATTTGGTTTTCATAACCAGACCAGATCAAAATTTTTTTAAAAAATTTTAAATAAATTTACTATCCGGGCGAGTTTTTTAAAAAAAATCTATAAACAATTTTGTATATTTTTTAAATATAAAATTTTTTGAAAATAAAATTAAAAGCCGGGTTGCCAGGTTACTTTTAAAATTGAAATATTATGAAAACTGATTTATTAAGTTTGTATGGCCTAATTTTTGTTATTAAAGTTTTCGGCTATATTAATTATTAGTTCTCTTTAAATTGTATATATGTGTTAAAATGAGTTGCTGCATTACTGTTAATTTTTAGTTTACACGTTTTTATAATAGATTTATGGTGACGTCCAAGAAATTCTTGCTGGAATCCGTTATGCTTATGTGATCTACTATGATCTTCATAACGTAGTCAAGGCATATAAGTTTCTCTGTTATCAAGATGTACCATATAATCAGCGAAGATTGGAAATCTAGTTTTCTTCTAAACAATGCGCTGTGCAGGTATATTTCTATTAATAATGTTTTCTTTATAATAACTTTAATATCTTTAAAATAGTACAGTTGCACTCCCATATAATCACACCCTCAGGACCCAGAAATCTGGTGACTATATAGAGATGTGACTATATAAATTTTATCTATAAAATCACTTTTATATAAAAAATAAATTATAGTGAATATATAGAATTATAAAATTCATAAAATTTAATCAAACTTCAACATAATTTTCTCGATAACCAATAATTAAAAAAGGCTCAAATTTATATCATATATAGTATCCATATATTTTTATGATATATTACATTTCTAGCTAAATTGGATTAATAGTTCTTGAGAAATCGCTTGTACATGATAGTCAATTTTTTAAAAAAATTGACTGTTGTATACTAGCAATATCTCAAGAACTAACAATATAATTTAGCTAAAATTTTAATATGTCATAGAGGAATATCGATTTTATTTTTGATATAAATTTGAACCTATTTTAATCATTGGTTATCGAGAAAATTGATAACAAAGTTTGCTTAAATCTTACAAATTTTTTAGCATATAAAATTTGTAAGATTTAAGCAAACTTTGTTCAATAACCAATAATTAAAATAGGCTCAAATTTATACCATAGATACTATCGATATTTCTCTATAATATATAAAATTTCAGCTAAATTGGATTGTTAGTTCCTGAAATATTGCTTGTGTATGATAATTAATTTTTTTAAAAAAAATTGACTATCGTTTACAAGCGATTTCTCAAGAACTATTAATCAAATTTAGCTGAAATTTTAATATAGTATAAAGGAATATTGGTACTATCTATGATAAAAATTTGAGATCATTTTTTTTAATTATTGGTTATCATGAAATCGATATTGAAATTTGATTAAATCTTACGAATTTTTTGTTATACTATTAGTAAATTCGTTATTAAAAATGTGATATTATAAACAATTGTTATTATTTAAAAAAAGCTTAAAATTTAGAATTGTGATTTTATAGAAAATTGTGCTTTTATAGAAATAAATTATTTATATTTGTTTGTAAAATTTTGTGATAGTGCTTGTATAGAAATTGTGATATTATAGAAAGAAATTTAATATAAATATAATCAGAACCAAATTTTTAAGTGATTAAATAGGAAATGTGACTATGAAGAAGGTAACTATATGGGAGTGCAACTGTAATATCAATTTTAATTATAATGATAATTACATAATTCTGATTAAAATTATTATTATCATTAAAATTTATTAATGTTATGAATATTAAAATTTTTATAAAATTATTTTATATATAAAAAAATATATATATAGGAATTGTCAAAGATCCAAGGTAATGAATATGATTGGGTGAATGAAGGTGTCATCATGGTTTCTTGGATTGGTGCACAATCAATTCAACCTATGGTCTTGATAAAAAAATCCTATAAATATTTATATTTTAAGAATTTATTGCTGATTAT